AAACCAACACAGCCTTCTTATTCCTCTGACGTGAAGGCTACTGCAACTGCAGCAGGCCAGGACTAAACTGCTCCGGGGAGTAGGTGGGGCCGGTGCCTGAAAGGGGAATATTCACCGCTCCGGAGCGATGGTCTTTTGGTTAAGGCACTGGATGAAGACTCAGTGGAACTGGGTTTCTAGCTCTGCCATAGACTCCCTGTGTGACTTGAGCCAGTCACTTCATCTCTTTAACTAGCTCCGTGGGGTCAGTCCGATGAGAGGGGGGTACCCCGCGCAGCTCTGCGCTGCATCGTACCAACCCCTTCGTCCATCAACCCCTCTTGGGCCCTTACGATCGCCACCTGTAAAATGGGCCCAGGGCTGCTCTTGGCTCGCCGGGGCAGGGACCGTCTCTCGCTCTGCGTCAGCACAGCCCCATGCGTGGCGGGTGGATGCCTCGAAGCGCTACGTAATGCACACAAGGGTCAGTCCTTTTTTAAGCGCCGAGGAGGCAAACTCACCGTTCTGGCAGAGGAAGGAAGGGTCTGGGTGGTCTCCTGCCATTCCGAGAAACAAAAAAAAAAAAACGCAGTTAGACAGCAAAGCTTAGCAGGCGCCCTGTAGAACTTGGTTGGATGGCGAGTGGAAGGTTCCTGTATTACTGCCCTCCCGCCTTGCAATGTGCTGGTAGTGTCTGGGTGCAACATTCACGGCCACCTGCTCTCTGGGGACCTGAGCCAAAGCCCACTGAGGGCAGTGGAAAGGCTCCCTCCCACAGAGACCCCGATCGGCCCCCTGCGGCGTGAGAAGAGGTGGAAATGCTCCAGAGAGAGCCCGCTTCAGGCCAGCACGGGGGAAGGGGGGGGGCGATCCTGGGCGCTGTCTCATCTCCCTGACACTGGATGCCTGTCCCAAAGCTTCGTGCTGCCCCGGGTTCTGAGGGCCTGGTCCCAGTGGCCGTTGCAATCGATGGGAAGGGCTGTGGTGACTTGGGGGGGGGGGGGATCAGGCCCTAGAGCTCTATTAGCAGCCCCGAAGGCCCCTTTTGAAAGCCACAGGAGAACTTTGGCAGGACAGACTAAACCGACTAGAAACAGAGCAGATAGGAGTGGGCCCCAGCCCAGCCACCAACGCCTCTTGAAACAGGGGGGCTCCCCATCTGAATGCTACGGCTCCTGCCTGCCTCGAATAACAACCCCCCATCGGGTGTAATCTACACCCTCAGGTGCCCCCCCAAGAGCATTGTTACATAGTTACCTCGTTCCCCCTTCAGGCCCGCTTTCCCGGGCGGGCCCCCGGCCCCTGAAATCCAGAGCAGACAGAGAGACGCAGTGAACGCAGGCAAGTGCTTGAGCGCAGCTAAGGCGCAGAACACGGTCTGGGGGGGGGAGTCCCCGGGGGCTCTTTTAAAGGGGGACGAACGGACGGACCCAGAGGAAAAAGAAGGGAAGCGCTCAAGATCCATCACTACTTGTTCCCATAGCAACCACGAGAAGCGGCTCATGTGGGCTGCCCAGCTAATCCCGGTGGACGATGCCATGGGGCCTGGAGGAGGTATGGGGGGGGGCTCCTGCCCAACCCTACAGGGGCTGGTCAGTTGAGCCCTGTGTGTGGGAGCAAGAGGCACCGGGGGGCAGAGGGCCAGATTCAGGGGGCGGCGTGGCTATGCCAGCTGGAAGGGCGGCTGGCCCATGAAGTGGTGCCTTGGTCTTCCACCAGCGGAGGGCGAGTGGTTCATCAGGGACTAATCGCCGTGCCAGGAGGGCTCACACACAGTCTGCTAAGGCCCATGCACCAGCCAGAGTGACCACAGGCAATGGGGTCGCACCGGGCACCGCCCAGCGAAGAGCCCAGTTCAATATGGGGTTTGCACCCTTAGCCAGAGATTCTCTGGCTCTAGTGACACCTCTGAGCCATTGGGCCCCATCCTCTTCCGGTGTAAATGGGGCATTGATTCCAATGCCGCTGCGCCAATTGACTCCATATTGAGCCATAGTGCTCCGTAGCTGCCCGAGTCCGATCCCCTCCTTGTGACCGCTGCGTTCTCCACCTTCCCCACAGACCCAATGGGAGCTGGCCCAAGACCACCCCACAGGCCCAGAGGGGACGGCTCCAGCTTGGGGGCAGCGCCTGTTGTGAGAGCCCCTCTCTCATCTCCTACCTCTCAGGCCAGGTTGACCGGGTGCCCCCTTTTCTCCAGGGCTTCCTGCTGCGCCTGGCGTCCCAGGGCACCCCTGTAATATGGTGAGTTTCTCAGCGCCGGAGAGCCCCACCACCTTCACCTCTGTGGAAACACAAAGAGACACGGGAGAAGGCACGATGCCAGCACCTGCTTCGGCTCGGCCCCAGCGAGTCACCTCGTGAGACGGTTCCCAGCATCGCTTACCCTGGCCCCTTTGATCATTACCGCTGGCCCCTCGGTCTCTGTCTCTGGAGGGCTCTGTGGAACCAAGGCTGCTGGACAGGACCTGCCCTGTGCTCACAGGTCAGCACAGCCCAGTGAGGGAGAGGGAAAGGGACCCAAAAGGCATCTACCACCACGTCCGCGTTGCCTCCCTGCTCTCAGCGATCACCGGCCCAGCGATAGCCAACGTCTTCCTACTCCACTGCCCCTGCGCAATGGCTCACTCCATAGCATCCCCCAGTGCAGGGCTGGTCTAGGCTGTGGGGACTGGCCCTGCACTCGGCAATAAATGCATCCCAGGGGCACCAAGTGGGTGGGCGGCAGTTGGGGAGCTTTCACCCCTGTTCTTCTAGCCACCCTCCCACACTCTGGGCTGCGCAGCCCATCCCAGCCACGTGGCCTTCACCTTTTTACAGCCAGCTTTAACCCGGGAAGCAGGGACGCCTGGCCCACGTGACATTGGAGTGCATCATCCAGACAAGCTCTCCCCATGACAGGCACGCCCCTGGGGTCCAGCCTCCATTCCTCCCGGCTCAGCTCCAGCCCATCACCCGCTCGGAGCCCCCAAACCCATCCCCGCAGCCAGCCCAACGGGATCAGCACCCAGGGCCCAGCCGTCAACGTCCTGACCCAGCAACTGCACCGCTGGAGCCAGCTAAATGGCTAGAGAACTCCCCCTGCCATCGCTAGGCAACGTGGGTGCCTCAGAGCTCAACCTAGCCCCCCATTGACAGCCCCCAAACAGAGCTTCTCCTACCTGGGCAGGTGCCTGGGTCCCCGGTTACCAGCGTCCAGGTGCAGAGCCAAAGCAGGGCTGGAATAAAGCTCCGAGGGCCGACTGGCCACATCTTCACTCTGTTCTCTCATGAGCCCGTCCCTCCCCAACTGCCTCTCGGTTTATGTACGTTCCAGGAACAATGCCCTCGTGGGGAGCTTTTCCTGGGAAGTAAACCGGGCTTCCCACCATTGTTCCAAGGCACAAAAGCTTGGCAGCCCCAACTACCATCCTCCAGAGACCCTCTGGAGAGGTGGGGTCGGGCCTCTTCCTCCAGCA